CTCGCATTCAAGACTCCGGCTCCGATTGACGTCCTCATCAAACCCATCAGTGAAGTTTCACTTACGCCTCTCTAGGGACCCTGAGGCTGCGGCTTTCGGTCTTGCTGGCGTTGGCGTGGCTCTTAGTGAGAGAACTGAAGCCGCGCTCCTGGACTGGTTCCCAGTCGACAGTAGGTTGTGCTCAGTGAGACTTTGAGGTTCATGCAAAGTAAACAGCCGTCGCCCCAACGGATTGCAACCCAGATGCAGTCAAAGATGAATTTTATCATAACCTACGCGACCTCTTGCGTGAAGCGAGTCGGGCTGAAATCGTGCTTTTAGCAGGAGATATGAATGCTAGAGTAGGTCGGCTGATTTCGAGTGAGGCGCATCTGGGACGTCCTTTCGGACTAGATTCCTGTCGCTCGGAAAACGGAACGGCTGTTGGCTCTGTGTTCCGACCACCGCCTATTCCTCGCCAGTACGATCTTCAGGCGCACCAACTGCCGGTATGCCACCTGGCATCCACCCTCCTCGAGTCAGAGAGGGACGCAGATCGACCACGTCGCTATGAGCCACAAATGGGGATGCATACAAGACTGCCGATCGTACTGGAACACTCTTCTCTAATCCGACCACGCATTAAATCAATTTTTTTATTACATTCCTTTGTGTGATGAGCAGCTGACGGATTGAACCCCATTGTCACAGACCTGCCATTCGATATTGGAAACGGGCAACCTAAACCCCGGGACCTGGATTGGTGAACTACTTAAGGCTCCTTTTGGTTAGGTGTGGTATGGGGTCGGACTACGGCAAAGCTGCCTACCACCAACGTTGGGTGACGGTGACGAGAAGCAATTCAGAGGTTAGACAACTTGATAACGATAGCTGGAGCATGATGTACTCTGTCATATGTGCTTACTTTCCACACTCACCTGCTGTTTTTGTTCTGTCTTTATCTTAGTAACATTCAGTTTTTTGTTCAGTGCAACGTTTCACTGCAGGACTGGATGAGTAACCAAAATCAGCAACCGAAACCGGAGCATTCAAGTGCACGGCTTGATGGTTGTACGAATTAAACTAAAAATACCACATCCTAATTGCGTACTACTCGCTAACCATGGACTGTGGACATACAAACAAACGCATGTCACAGTTTATTACACCTCTGCAAACCTTTCTCTCAACATCTGCACGCAACTCTCTCACCCACCCCCCGCACAATACCCCCACTTTTTCTACTGTTTACCCCACCCCGAATGGTTCCACTGACGTAGGTTCATGTTGTAGCTCGCCGCTATCCTCCTTGACATCTGTCTCGGGACCATCCGTTCCATTCCTCTGACTTCATTCTACGTTCAAACTGGCTTCATTCAACGTAAGTACTCTAATGCGTGTAGGACAACAAGCAGGTTTAGCTCGTACGCTCGAAAGTCTAG